CGTCGTATGCCCCTCCGCCTCCGCTCAATTGGCTTTGCCGGACAAGCTGCTGTGGTATGTCGTGCGTAAAGCGTAACGTTTTCTTGCCGCCGTTGCAATAGAATTCGAAACGTATGGGCATAATCGCCATGACTCGGCAGGTTGGGACAATGGCCCATTAGATAGAACATGTATGTCGGCCATGGACGCCCATCTGGCATCTCCCCCACGCTTTATCAATCTTCCTTCTCGTGCCGTGACTGTATTTGCTTTTTTCTCCAAGCGACAAAGAATCCGGGATTCCCCACCCTGACCTGCACACAATGCCCCACACTGCATGCAGGGTCCTCCAAGCCCACTGCTTACCGTTTCACTGCCTGCATATCCTCCTCCAACCCTCCAACATTTATCTCGAGCTTGCAAATGCCTTCTTCGTTCCTCAAGGCTTTGTGCGCAACCCGCGACCGGGTTGCCTTCCCCTGTGAGGAACGAAAGGACTTCCTAACGCACCGCCGGGCCTAACTTTTCCACCCCAAAAGAGAACGCACTTTGATTCGCCTGAATCCTTGTCGATTTGCATACCGCTGATTAGCCTGGGGAGCTACCCCCGGAGCCGCTGGAGCGATGCCATTAGTTGAGTAAGGCCTGCTTGCGCCCGTCCCATTGGCCTCTTTGCCCAGCGCACCGCCCGGGCATTGGGGTGTGGGCGCGACAGCCCCCTCTGGCTCGAGCCCTGTCCGGCGTGTCCCCTCAGCGTATCCCCTCAGCGTCTCCCCTCAGCGTATCCCCTCAGCGTCTCCCCTCAGCGTATCCCCTCAGCGTATTCCTTCCTTTCCCATCGGAGGCACCGATGTAGACTGTCGTCGCCAAACCAGCTCAATGCCTCCTGAATAGTTCGGTCGCCAAGTTCCGCCAGCCTGTCCTGCGCGGCGCTCATCTCCACGGGTACTCTGTTTCCTACCAAGTCTCGCTCCCGCACTTTGGAAACGAGCATGATGCCGTCAAGTGTCCGGCAGCGCGACAGTTGCACGTACAGCCTGTACGGGTCGCATTGTGAGGGGATGAGATGCCCGTCGACCTTTGTCGTCCGTGTCCCACGCAGCCCTAACGCCACGCGCTCGAGAGTTCTGCCCTGCACCTTGTAATCTGTGCACGCGAAAGCCGCCGCACAGGGCAAGCCCTTGCGGCTGACTTCATTCTGCTGCCAGGGCCGTTTCCGCTGGCATTGTATGTTGATGCTCATCGGCGTCAGCAAGATCGTTCCCGGCGGCATCCCGACAAAGTGACGTTCTTTTGTCGACTCCGACGCCAATATAATGCCCGCCGGCGGCCCGAAGTGGGTCGTCATATCTGCAGAGATCCGATGTCCAGGGTACGCCCTGTCGAAACTCCGTAATATGCAACCGCTAAGCATCGCCCGCATCTCTTGCATCCTGTTGTCTTGACACAAACTTTGCATATGACAACCTCGATGCAACGGCCTGGACTTCCTCTCTGATGAGCCCCAATTTCCCTCATGATATCTTGCATTAACTGTCGTATCGCGATTTCGCACTCTCCCTCCCCACACACTGGATTGACCTAGACCACAAAGGACGGTTCACCCTGTGCAGCCAAGATATAGCATTCCGAAGTACGTTGGCCGCAACTAGCCCACAGTTATCGCACGAAGTCTTGGAGGCATTTCGGCACATCTGCTCCCGTTCCTTCAACGCAGGCGAGACAATTTCCAAGAAGTAATCATCGCAATTCGCGTCTTTGCCAGCCGCGATGACATGGCTTATCAGCTCAACGGGGATGTCGTGAATATATTAATTGCTTCGTGCCCTCGTGCAGAAGAAACGAAAGGGAATCGCCTGCGTTGCCATGATCCCTTTGGCTAACCAGTGACTCTGGGACATCGGACTGTAAAAGTGTGCTGGAGACTCGAAAAACGTCCTCTAATCATAGATTTCGTGCTTAAGTGGTGTTGCGCCCCTCCGAAGACACTGCCAACCCCTTGTTGCTTTTTTGCGACACGTAGCATGGCGTGGTAAGTCCCATCTGCAGCAGCGATGCAAGGATCGACGTCAAAGGCACCGCCAATGCCAGCCCAACCGGTCGGAAGAAGAAGACCATTGGGGACAAATGCTGCATGCGAACGTCTACTTGCTTGCAAATTCTCATACTGTCTGGCTTCTTATTTTGCCGCCGCCAACTTCGTTCCTCAAGGCTTCTTTGCGCAACCCGCGAACGGGCTGCCTCCCCTGTCCTCAGCTACCTGGGTAGCTACTCGGCGACTTGCCATTGGCTCCCGCGCAGAGCCTATGGGAACTGTGCTGTGGGCGGTACCCTGGTGAGTGGTCATTGGCTCTCTCGTTGTACTCCGCCCTGTACCACTCATCCAGGAGGGATGAGGCAACCCCGAGTTGCAGGCGATAGCACCCTGTCAATAGTAGCATCCACCCAAGGCTCATGCAGCACATTCCCGCTCGCTTAGATCGGCGTGACATCGGAATGCAGGTACAGTCACATGCGTGTTCTTGACCATCCACTGTGCTGACCCTTGAGAACCTCATAGGCCATCAGTGGTGGGTACCAGTGCTGTTACACACACTGGCTCTTGCCTGATGGTGTGTAGGGGGAGGGTCTGGAAGCCAGCGACGGCAGCAATGTTGCGTCATCAGCTTAACCCACCCACCTATTAATACCAACGTTCTTCCTCGAGCGCCGTGGTCAAACTTAGACCCCCTTTCCCCCTTCTGCGCTGTCATGTCTATTTATGCCCTCACACAAGTACTAAGGCGTACGCTGACGCAAGAAGTAAAGCCGTCTGCTGATGTAACGAAGGTTCGGCTGTTTGATGCACTTTGTGTTAACATGCTTGCACGCCACGGATCTGACTGCTGCAGCTCGTCGACTGCGTCTGGAAAGTGTTGAAGAATGATAGCCGCTGTCGGAGCGAACTTGTGCAAAGGGTTCTCTCTGCGCCGGAAGCCACAGCGCTAGCGACGCCGACATCGAACATGACCGCCGCGAACTCGCCTACCTTGGAAGCCCAGCCCTCGCAATCGAACCCGCTAGACACACCAACTAACGAGGTTTCATCTGTTGATGCCCCCTGCTTGTTGAATGTGCGGCTAATTTTCGGTCCAAAGAGAGTCCTTGCGCAGCGCGAAGTGCAGACCGCCCAGGTACGACCCAAACGCAGGCGTTCGAGTGTTGCGAGTTCGACCACCGACGATACACCTGGTAACGAATGCATGACCCTGACACCTGAGCCTGTCGCTGCCACTGAAAAAAGAACCCGAGGCCCTAGTAAGAAGACGAGGATAGAGACCCCGGCTTGTGAAGCGAGGTTCCTCAGTATTTATGAGCCGCTTAGAAAAGAGACATCCAGGGCATTGCAAGTCGACATGGCCGTAGATGCGTACAAGCTGTACGAAGCGTTCGAGGCCGAAACATTGGACATGCCAAATGACGCTGAAGAAGGTTCCGTGGTCGGCAAGATACGACAGCGTATCGAGTTCTGTGAACTTTTGAAGAGGCGAGGAAGCAGTATGGTGATCCGAGGAAACGTTCAAGAGCGCTTCGAGCTTGTTATTCTGGCTTACGAATATCGGAAAGCCACGGCCCATTTGAGCCAAAGGGCTGCGCAAGACAAGAGAAGGGGTTTTATTGCAGAGCTCTTCCCTGGTAAGGATCCATCACAGACGCCGTGGCAATACTATTGGCAAGTAGGAAAACCACTATTACGGCTTGTCGAGCGCTATGGGTGGGGAGCACTGGTTTTTCCGACCCTCAACATGACTAAAAAGAGGTTTGTTATCGCATCCCTTGGTAACTCGCTTGCCTATCCGCTTAATCTCCCAGTTTACAAAACCTTCATCGTGGCGCCATAGACGATTTCGTCGATTACGTCGAAGTGTGCCATCCAGATTTGGCAAACATGGTGCAAAACCTTTCTCACATCCTACCGAGACTAATACGATGGGGTCTGCCTCCGGGCGGCCTGGGACCTGGTGCCATGCCTGCTGGGCAAGTAATCCATGTTGACAAAGACACATTTAACCGACTGTTCCCACTTCCTGCGTGTATCCAGCCAGTGACTGGGGGGGCACCCGGCCCTGGTATGGAGATCGTGCCGTGGCCCTCGCTAGCCGCTTCTGCGCAAGGCTGCAACCAAGCTGAAGCTCCCGCGGCGGACAGCGATCCTGGCTCGGCGGCTATGCCCGCGGATGCGAACGTCGATCTCTTCTTTGGTGTTCCCTCCACTACCGACGAGGAATGGAACTGGAACGGCTGGACCACCGGCGATGGGGTTGATACCCAGCCATTGTGCGCACATAGCAACTCTATGGGCTCAGCGGGTGTGAATCCCGGAGCTATTGTGCTGAACAGCAATTCCGACGATGCTGTCCCGGATGTTGCAAACGGCTTTGGGTTGACGACTATCGACCGGTTCATAGACGAGAATACGGACAAAGTCCTCGCGGACGAGGAGGCATCCTGAGACAATGCAAATGAAGTAGAGAGCACACATGACTTTGGCTCAGAAGCATGCCGCTGGCTGTGTCTGGACCACAAGCGGGTCCTGAAAGGAGGCGCCGGCCGATACGGAATATAGACAAGTCTCGATCAGTTCGGAGTAAGCGCTGCGACGTCGGTCCATTAGGATCTTGAATACAATAAAACCCACCGCTCTCGAAGCGCTAGAACGTTTGACTTGGCACGCGTGCATGTACTGTACAGGGCAAAGGACGCAAGAGACTCGGGTACTGCACTCCCGCAGTGCTCGGCCGCTTGCCACAGCTCTGCCAATATCGTAGGCGGCCAGTGGGGCAGGTACAGTACTAACTAGTGTCGGCCACCCCATGAAGCACAAGCAACCTGTCCGACAGCTGCGTTGATTTGCAGCCAGCACTCTTAAGGTCCTGGACACCGCTGAGGGAGGCTACGCACGGTAAATGCGACGGTTCCAAGGGCCTGGGCGGACATCGTCCACCAGCCACGTTCATGAAAAAACACCCCCGTCCATGGGCTCAGGTCAAGTAGTCATCTGCGCCGCCGCTGCAGTAATCAGATGTTAGTCTGCGCCACAGGGCTGCCTGCAGGTAAGGGTAGGGCGCATGCAAGACCCCAGTTTGTCCGTTTGAGACTAACAAAGTGTCAAGGGAGCCAGGGTTCCGCCAAACAGACTTCCATCGAGCGCTCGGCCGAGCCTCCAGCCGACGACAAGCATTGGAGCAGATGGGTTTTCTTCCCTAAGCTAATTGAGAGCTGTGGCAATATCTCCAAAAAGAAGCTAGAGACGGCAATCGTCGGCAAGGGTGGCAGTGTGCCAGTCTGCAAAAGTGATGTTGAGACACTTAAGGATAAGTGCACTGTCTCAGCATACATCGTGGGTCGGGGCGAGGACTGCGGCCCAACTGCAACCGCCGAGGGATCTGCCCGTCTTGTCATCGAGAGCGGTGAGGGAATATCGCTATCCCACGCAGTCCTTAGGGTTGTCAGAGACAATGGACTTTACTGTGATGTTTGCCTGCGGGACACCTGCTTCCCAAGATCAACCGCGCCGGGTGACTACCCTTCATCAACGAAGCTAGGAGCCGAAGAGACACAATCACGCAGCGCGATCGGAGCAGCGCACGGTGACTACCGCAGTAGTCTAGCCAGCACGAACTATGACACCAACGTTTGGTAGAAGGGTTGCTTGCTTGCACGGTAGGGAGCACACCTCGACGGAGTGGTCTGATAACCACAGGTATTTTCATCCTTCCACTGCCAGCTTTTGCTTAGCTGGTGGCCCACGGGGTCCTTCCAGTCCACTCTGACCGCCTCTACCATCCTGCTCGTCCGTACAATGACGACTATCCCACGCATCACGCTTATCCGTCTTGACCCGGCAGACCAGGTTTGCCTGGAGCCTACAGCTCTTTGAGTGCCCGAAGGAGAGACTTGGAAAGGTATACAAGCACAAGTCAGACGCAAGTGTTCCTTCCCCCACCAACCTACATGTATGCTGGCGTGATAGCAGCCGATAACTGTTTGCATGAAACCTGCATACAGTACAGTACTCACTACCTGAAGTCTTGACTCATTGCCTGCAGCAGCAAGGCTGCCATGTATCTCTCATCAGCTTCCGCACCGTCGCTGATTCCGGTGACAGATCCTTCATACTCGACATAACACGGCTTCCAGGGGCTCCGTGGTACGCTAGACATATTTGGAGGGGGTACAAATGCTGGGGGGAATTCAATCTGCGCATCTGTGTTGTCTAGCTGACACTGTACAGCTGGGCCATGCGACGATTGGCCTTCGCAAGTGCCTGACTCACCCTCAGCCGCCCATGATGCTAAAGATGATCCGACGTAAACGGGGTCAAACGCGTCAGAAGAGTAATCTTCTAGAAAGTGCGCCAGCTCCGGATTTTGGTCCCTGGTAGAATAACTTCGACGGTTACGATCTTCCTGACGGCTGGTAGTTCGCCTTGCAGATGATGACGGCGGTCGCGACGCTTCGAACATTGCTGTCCGCTTTTGCGTTTCTTTCGACGTAGGTGGAAGAGTATCCGGAGGCGGGGCTTCAGATCTGACAAACTCGCCTTCATAGGATGTAGTCGTACAGTCGACGGCGTAAGCCGTTGGTAACTGAACTGTAGCTTGGTTGTCGGCTTCATACCCCGTAGGACCATATCGGACCGTCGTCTGTTCTTCCTCCCCAGCATATGGGACGGGTCTCGGCGTAACACACCCACCCTCGGCTGCACTAGGTAACAGCGCCGCTAACGTATAACAGTCGCGGGCAGAAGACCGTGACTCTGGCGATACGACGACCATCTTGTCCAATAAGAATTGCCCCAAAGCGTCAGGCCATTTTGCAAAGTCCTCGTGAAATACCTTCACGATCTTGTCGCACCATACGGTCCCGCGGTCCCTGTAGCTGTTCTTGTAACGTGGAAGGCAGCATTTCAGCTCGGATATCACCACGCCAAGAGACCAGACATCGACAGCGGGCGTATACTTCTTCCTCGGGGTAGTGTTGGAACAGATTGATTGCCATTCTAAGTACACCTCGGGTGCAAGGTACAGTGCTGAGCCGCAGAATGTCGACAGCTCAGAGCTATCCCGAGCTAGGCCGAAGTCCGCAAACATGACGTAGATGCTCCCTGGGTATCGATGCTGGAGGAGAATGTTGCCAGGTTTGATGTCTCTATGCACGATTGGTGGCTCGCTCTCGTGGAGGTATGTGAGGGCTGACAAGCACTGCTGCAGTATCGAAATCGTTTCATCGGCTGTTATAAACTCCTGGTCCTCCAATGACCCGCCGGGGGCATACGCCAGGATTAATTGCGGATGCGGGTTGAAAATCGCCTGGAGAAGCCGGACGACGTGGGGCTGCTGGGTGGTTAGGACCAAAGCGTCAGTGGCGGGGGCATACGAACATGCGATATCTGGCCCATGATGCGAGCCTCCTTGCGCCACCCATTGTAATTGACCTGTCCCTTTCGAAGAGCCCTTGCAGTAGGCTCCTTCAGAGCGTACTCGCTGCCATTGCTGACGTTCCAGAAATGTGTCACAACACCATAGGACCCTTCACCAATCTCCTTCCGCAGGTAGATCTCTCCCCTGCCAGGTGTATGGGCTCCGGTAGGCAACTCCGTGTCCGGTCGCTGCGGAACGCCGAGGTCCCGGAAGAGGTCTTCCGTTGAGGTCGTGCCTTGGCGGAACCAGTTCACCTTGGCGATGTAATCTGGAGAGGTTAGATCGTGGTGAGCGGCGACGATCTGGAACTCAACGGTGTCGTGTACTGTGATACGGATGCTTGTTTTCTCGTCAGGATTGGGATCCCCGCCGACGATCCATCGGAAATTGCTTCGCTTGCCATGCCCTTGTGCATCGTATGTAACCTCGGTCCCTAATAAAGAGCCCCAGTCTCTGACAATGAGCCTATTGGCATCATCAAAGGTCAGACTGAAGTGATGGTTGCTGATGCCCTTGAGATTAGGAAGAACAACATCGCTGTCCGGATCGCATCCGAAGACAATTCCATGACTGGTTCGTGGTATGTCGCTGAAATTAATTTCGAGGCGGGGCATGTCCAGGTGCGCTGGTACGTTGCTCTCTTCTGGCGGTTCCGTCGTGGCTCGACCTTGGCGCCCATATTTGACGTCGTCAACGTTTCCGTATTGAGCAGGATCAACGTAGCGTGAGCTCGCCTTGATCGCCTCCAAAGCGAAGTTCCTTACTTGCAAAACGGGATACACCCGAACAATAAGGTCCGTATTCTCCATAGTGAAGTGTATCGTAGAGAGCAAGCAACGAAAGTGGGACAAGGCGACATGACGGCACCGTTGCCAGGCTTTAACAGCTGTGGGAAGCAGGACACCACGGCGACTGTACCACTTTTCTGACAATCATATCCAATGGAGCATGGTGCCCCGCACAATCCCCAGACGGGTGGGCGACTACAACGGGTGCGCCCGATTGGCCCGCTGCCAGGGGGTCTTGAAGCCGCATTCACAGAGGTACCTCCTAGGTCAATTGTATTTGCCAAATTTGAATGTCCTACTGTGCATGTGACACTTGGCGCCCCCTCCCTCCTCCCGCCACCGAATTTGTGCCCGAGCCCTGATCGATCGCAACCCAAATATCGCCTTCATCATCGACGGACAGCATCGACAGGCATACATCCACATCTGCGAGCCCCATTTCTACGATTTGATGGTAGAATGTCAGGCACGGAAGCGGTGATGGCGACACCTTCCGTGCGCGACATCGCCGCCTTCAGCGATGCCCAGCTCGCTCAGTTCATGCAGATCCACCGCCGTCACGATGGCGACTTTGAGCTTCCCGTCGATGGCTGGGACAAGCTGCCTCTGCATGCCCGAAACCAGCTCGCGGAAAGATTGAAGTGAGCCGCTCTCGGCCTTGCGCGCGTATATGCACGTGGTGCCTGTTGACTGACGTTCGCAGGGCACAAGAACGGATCTTGTCCCAGAACCCTTCGGCTCACTCCCGCCCGCTCGATATTGACCAGCTTGACGCACGTCTACGTCAAGTTGCCCATGGCGACGATATCGTACCGGAAGTTCAGCAACGAATGCAAGGACGTATAACGCCGCCGTATTCTCAAGAGGACGAGCGGCGTGACCGGATAGACGACGAGACCGAGGCTTACAATGACCTTGTCAAGGACGGCGGTCGTCCATTATACCGGATCAGCCTTATAGAACATGTTTCTCGGAACCCCGAGGAATATCGCGAGATGCTGTGGCCATTTTGGGGCTACCCTCGTGACACTCCAGTCTCATGGTTGGTATTCCGGAGACAGCTGCAGCGATGGCAGGATTTTCGCAACTGGCAGATCGACAACCGGGACCTTCCAGTCGAGGATGGTGGTTTTCCTGCTTATGTCGAGATGATGAAGCGCCTTTATACAAAGGACGAGTATACGGAGGGGTTAGCCAAAATTGAAGCTGACCCGACATGCCTCAAGACCGCTTGGGAGATGAGGCAAAGGACGCGCAGGTGGCAGCGCCGGTGGCAACGGGAATGTGACTGCCAGGGCTTCTCCGACTACGTCGACGCAGTGAAGCGCCGCCTGACACGACATGGGTTCACTCGAGCGCTCCTGCTGCAAGAGGACCCCAAGCAGCAAGACAAGTTGACAACATGGATCGAGTACCTCTGCTTTGAGTACTGGTGGCTTGATTGGTACAATGACTCTATTGAGCGCCTGGAGCCGGACCACGACAAACGCTGGCAGGAGCTGGTGGACAAGAAGATACCAAAGCCTCACGAAACCAAGGATTTGATCCGGACCACCCCGTCGTCGATGAAGCGTGGGCGAGAACGAGAGCAAGCCTGGGAGGCTAAACAGGTGGCAGAAGCAGACGCAAAGCGGGTCTATTTCCTCACCCAGGAAGATCCCCGTCGCCTGACCATTCCGATAGAGAAGCGCATGCACATGCTTGAAGCTGCCAGAAACAAGTTGGTGGCGGCGCAAGAGCGGTACGAGTTTACCAGGCGACGAGTCAGCATGATCACAAACTTCATCCGGGCGACATTCGATTACGTGAACGCCAAAAAGGATGCAACCGGCCACGCTGCCATCGCGCAATGGGTCATGGAGCAAGTCCCTCTGGTCGAGACCGAGTTTATCCACCCTCAAATGACTGAGGCCGGCCCCGATGCGAAGAACAAAAAGAGAAAGCGCGCCCAGGATGAGGACAAGCCAGAAAACCGGAGTTCAAAGACGCGGAAGGCAGGCCACGGACAAGTTGCTCGCCTTTCACGGAGCAGCCGGACAGGCACGACAAATTTCGGTGAGGCTTCTCAAAGCCCTACTCGTACGATGTCAGGCAAGAATTGTATGGCTCGAGACGAGGCTCCGAGCACACAACGGAGGCAGGCAGACTCTGAGCACTTGCTTCGGTCCACGGATGCCTCTCCGGTGCCCACCCAAGGACTGCGTCGCAGCGCAAGGATCGCAGCACGACTGAACAATTCGCAGCCGACTCTCGCCGCTACGCTTTCGGGACATTTGCGACCAAGATTCCCACCAAAGAGTCGCAAAAGTACCAAGTCTTCATATGCCGCCTGGGCCACAGAAGCTTCCGCGGCGTCAAACATTGGAAGCAGGAAGCGAGGGAGTACAGTCCAAGCCGGCAGAGTGTCGAGGAGGCTTGGCGCTAGTGGCAGATGAGGGCTAGACCCTGCGAACCGAAGTGACTCAGCGTCACTGCCTGTCGCAGACTTACGGTATGGCAGCAGGGCTGCAGATATAGAGTGACTTCACTGCCATGGCATGTGAGTGGAAGTACGCGGGTTGGAAAGCGGCGCGAAGCGGTTTCACAGGGTGCTTTTTGATCCGCAAGGAAGAAGTCACCGTATGAGGCATCGTGCTTGATGTGTAAAGCGCACACGCAGTCGGCGAACGATATGACTGCCACAAAAGTGGCCAAGATGAGAGGATAGACGCTTGGTCTGTTGACGACATTGCTTTCAGGACAGAGCACAGGCGCAGCGGGCGTTGCAATCCGGCAGCAGAGGCGGCATGAGTGTGTAGGGTTTGAAGCTGCCCGCATGTACTTAGGGTTAAAGGGTGGCGGCGATGTACCCCGACATACACATCGCGCGACCGGAGTGACCACGCCTGAGTCTGTATTGTGCGTGATGACCCGAATGGTGACCCGAACCGCTACGGATGGCTGCAATGCCATTTCGTTGTCCGAAGTTCATTGCCCACTGAGGGAAGGTCATTTTCGTGCTGCAATCCAAGGCTGGGACGGCATGTGGCCAAATATCTCGAGTTGCTAGCTCAAACGTGCGATGCTGGCGCTACACAGGGGCAGCAGTGGTGACCAAAAGTCTGATGGAGGGGGTGTGTGAGCGGTAGACTGGGCGGATGGGTGCCAGCCTTCTGATAATTGAGCATCCGTACTGCACGGTTGACAACGGAAAGACAGGTCCCGACAATCAACATGTTCGAGGCGCACTGCAACGGGCAGGACCTAAGCCGCGGAGCGACAGGCGTGATGAGATCGTACTCGTAGTTGGACAATCTCGTGTACGAGCGAGAGCTTTGGCGGCGTAGGGGGAAGGCACGTCGCGGCTAGGGTTTTTTGATCGATGGATTCCGGACATCAGTATCCACCAGTATCACATTGGCAAGGAGTCACCGCTCGCTCGTCACCACGCTCAGGGCCACCGGGAGGACCAAGCTGACTTATGCCGCCACGGCTACAAGCTACACGACTCTGGCGAGATAATATCAAGGGACATAGCGTGCCTGGTGGAATGGGCAGCGTGGACGGCATTAGCGATGGCCTGTACGTGGTTCCTTGCTGAGCCGCACGAGCGCCCTATGGGTCCTTCCGAAGCTTGCGAAGAAACAATGTATTGCATTGCTAGAAGAAATTAGTGAAGCTCAAATTGAGTCCGATGTTTGCAATATACAATCGCATTCGATAAGGCCCCCTATCTGCCTCAAGCATCATCCACAAAAGTTACTTGCTGAGGCGGCCCATGCAAGTTGATGCAGCTGCGAACGCCCCTTCCTTGGTCCGAGTGACCTGTTCGTTGCGCTTCAGCGAAGCAATCATGGAGTGGTCTCACCAGTTGAAACTTCGTCGCCGGCTTGGGATGCTCGTCCAGAAAGTCCCTCAGACCGGTCGAGCATTCCGTCCATTTCTCGAAGCTGATAATGCCACAATCATAAGCTCGAGCCAGCTGCATGACATACTCGTACTCGCTGTTGGGAGAGATTAGCACTGATTGCCATAATTGTTATGCAGAGCAAACCCACCGTTCGAGGAAGTACCGCCGTTCGAAATCTCGAAGCTTGCGAACAGTCTGTAAGAATCGCCCCATAGCATCGAGTTCATATCGGGCAGCCTCAAGTCGCATGTCTGCACTTAGCACGCTGCCGCTAGACACCTGTGACATGGACACGTTCATGGCATATAACCGAGCCTTGACATGCGGCGATGTCGCCTCTGCAGTCGGACTTCCAGGATTGGTGAGCTGGTCAAGAGAAGCCACCACGTGGGCATAAGGTATTGGCGATACGGCGCGAGCGTAGCAAACTTTGATGATGCTTTCAGCCATCTGTCGAGCTGGGGGTAACAGTCCCTCAGGCGGCAGCTCCATCGGCAGTTGCTGCAAGATTGGCTGTACGCAGGGGAGAAGCTTGCCGGGCATAATGTCACTAGAGCAGGCTGTTAGTGTGAAAGTCAACCTGCCACGGAGGAATGTTCGCGGACAAGTAGAGGAGAACAAATGCCCAAACCAGCACGAGGTTGTCAGGGTCAGTGGGGTCGACTCTTTTCTCTTGTCTATTGGTTTAAGACTTAGCCATTGTCGAAGCGATGTGTGTGAAGGGGGCCTCACATCATCTGCTGCAGCCTCTCGCAGGCGGAGCTCATGTAGCGGTACTGAGACCCGTCCTCGAGAGAAGGGCAGTAGATGATCAAAAGAACGACGAGGAGGCTAGCACGGATTTCCATGACGGAGTCCAAACGCAGCATCGCGGCATGCGTCAGGAGGTCAAAAGTCCATTCCGCATACGGCCTGAGTGGGTTATGCGCAAAGGCCCCGAGTCTGAGGATAAGGAAAGCCACCAAGCGCTGGGCTGGTTGCAATCCAGTGGCCTCAGGCGACTTAACCATTGTCGACGGAACCAGGACGTTCACTGTGTCTGGTGTCAAGATGGGATGCACCGACAAAATGTTGGTATTGAAGCTTGTGAGCCAGTGTTCTAGGTCGTGTGGTTCGCATCCCGGAAGAAAAAGATATCGGCCATCGAAATGCTGTAACAAATTAGCCCATGACCTTGCTTTCCGCGACTGAAGGTACCTGAATGTTGCTGGGAGGAGCCGTGTTGTTGTATACTGGAGATTTGGGAGGCTTGGGTATGGATTTCGGAAGCCGGGACTCGGGCGCCCATCGGATCTGTACCGGAGCGGCACATTCGGTCCCCCTGGAGACGCAGCGGTTGCATGGATGATTCCGGTCACACTTGACGCGCCTGATCCTCTACAAGCCAAAACGTTAGCTCGATACAGACGCACCTCAGCGCAAGGTAACTCACGCAGTTCTCACAAGGGGCCGGCGTTGTGCAGCGTCGAACCTTGGTACTGCTAGTGCTTCGTTCAGCATGGGCGTTGGATGCCTTGCCGTCACAAGCCGCCGCGGCTATCCATATCCCGCGCGACGCTGAGGCACGCGGACAATCAGATACTGAGGCAGGCGAGGGCATCTTCTTTTGAATGCTGCAAACAAGACACGCAAATTCCGTATAGCTGCGGAAAAGGTGGACAGTGGAAACGAAGGGCATGGCTAGGTGTATTTATACATCACTGGTTGGCCGGAGGCTGACCATATATCAACACGAGAGAACCTGAAACAGGAGCTGCAAGAGCCAGCCGCATGGACACAACACCACTCCCGTCCAATCCATATTGTTGTAGAGCCTTGAAGTGCAGTATACTGCATGATACCAGCGGCTGTCTGATAGGTCCTGAGGGACCCGGCGAAGGTATGGCCAGTGGTCGGCACACTCTCCATGCGAAGTGCATGGCTCACCGCACTCCGCATGGGAGACGAGATGAGCATAAGGAGAGAGATCAAATCTTCGCAACCACTCACGGCGTAAAAAGTACTCGATATTACAAGCAGCCCTCATACATAGCCCTCAAATCCATCAGGTCGATATTCAACAAGTGAACGCCAGCAACGATCATCTACTATGTTAGAGGAATGATACTGCCATGCCCTCATCACCCAGCACATCACATGTCCGGTGCCTCGCGTCCCCCTGGGGCGTCACACTCCAGTCGGATAGTTGGCGCGCTGTTTAGGGGTGGTGGGCTTCGTGGTGTGGATCCTCGTCCCAGTTCGTACGGACGGGCACCACAAGCATCATTTCAATATTTGGGAGCTGAACGCGAGCCGATGGATGCGATTGAGTTGGCTTTGTAGCCGAAATTGCAGCACTATTTGGCTGATGACTTTTGGCGCAAGGTCGAGATGCTGTTGGACTTTGCGTGCGGTCGCTGTCGTGCGTTTCCAGGGTAATCATGTCAAACCCGCCTCGCTGGCATATCTGCTCCTTTCCAAGCTCCCAGCCGATGGCTTTTGCCGTTCGCCATGGTACGTTCAGTTCCTGAGCTAATTGGGTCCCCATCTGTTGTCTGAACCTGGGGTTCATCAGCATCTTCCTCGGGTCGGACCGTCACATGGACACGAAACTTCGCTTGCGAACAAAACGAAGACTGGCGAAGGCGTTACCTCTCATACAGCATACAGAACTTAGCTTTGCATTCGTCACTCCAATCTGCTCGTTTCTCGATGTAGTTCTGGTATCGCAGTCGACAAGCAATTGGGCCTCGGAAGTTGCTGAGAAATATCTGGCCATTTCATACCCTTCCCCCCTTAGCATGACAATAGCCTTGTCCTCCACGTTCCACTCGTGCCTCTCGTAGATGGACTGTAGTGGATATTGAGAAACATAAGGAGATGACTGTTGAAAATCCTGTGACATTGGTGATGGCGATGGGACGAGCGGAGGTTGCTTAGGAGACAACAATGACAATAATCGGACTGTCGGGGTCGCGCGACGAGGGCTTCATTGTGAGGAAGCTGGAATTTGTAGACTATTTACAGGCGCTTGGGTGAGTCAGAGAACAAAGCAGAAATAGCGGGCCGCGAAACGAAGTAAAATCGGCAGCAGCGCTTGACAGGTAGCTTCCGCGGCCGTCATATCGCACACCCATTTCGCCCTCGAAGAAAGTCGCACGGCCATAATACGCGGGCGTCGTCCTCAGCCAGCAACGGTACACGGTGTGGTGCACCGCAACCTGCCAGACAGAGATATTCGCGCTTTAGCTCTTAGCCCTTGTCCATCGGCTTGCCGGCGAGTTGTCCCACTGGGACGAGCCCTCTGGAGGAGCTGCCCAACGTGGAGTGGATCAATCGTCTGACGAACAGCGGCCGTGGAAGCGGACCAATTGGCCTGCGCTGCTGGGCTCGGACGGGTTGTAACCATGACGTGTCCAGATGTCGTGCCAGGAAATAGGGGGCTGGGTTGGATGTTCATGATGGAGGGGGCGTGGCTCATGATGTAGGAGGTGAGGTGAAGAGGTGAAGCGGGTTCTTGTGCTCCAATGCGTCTCAGCATCCATTCCTCATGGCGAACCAACCGCACGGCGAGCACGTTACGAACGGCCTGGAGCAGACACACCAGGAAACTAACACTACACGACTGGCCGTGGCAGCTCGGCAAGGGCTGGCTCTTGCTCGCCACTGGCGAGAGGACGCTCCATGAAAGACATTACCGCCGACGTTTCTGCGGGAGAGCTTGCGGTGAGTTTGGTTCGACGTAATAGTTTGGATTGTTGGTTGCCTCCCGCCACTACGGGATCGTCACTTGTGAAATGCTCGGACCACTGGGCCAGCCGTCACATCTACTACGCGGCCTGGAAGGTGTGCCAATCCAGTCTGGGGATCTCCAAGGTACACAGGGAGTGTACTCGGCCATCTAAGGATCTTTGTGCGCAGACTTGTGGCAAGAAACATACCCAGCCCCTGACGCCACTGTCCAGGCGACATCGACACGATGCGCGGCAGGGCAACTGATGCGGGTGAGACAATGGTATGTGTTGGGATCATGGTAAGCACGACATGTGATCGATTGGAGGGTGCGACTGTCGCGTCCATAGACGCAGCCACACAGTCAGATCCGGGTGAGGCGCCAATCGTGACGGTTGCCTTCCTAATGCTGGGCCATACCAATGGTCTTGGTACAGGTTCGTCATGTACATGCTCACCAGCCGGTCATATGCTGTGCTGCAATGCCCCCCCTGACGATGTCCTGCTTATGGGCTGGACCGCACTCCAATCAGGGCAAGGCAGCCAGCGACTCTCTTTTTGTCTGCCCTGGCAATAAGTTGCCTCGCAACTGTGGGGGTGCCCGGTAAGGCGTCAAGTTTGCGGAAGCCTCGGCCAGCAATGCTGTACAAACATTCACGCAAAGCACGGTTCCCTAGTCGGAAGAGGATGGTTGTCACTAGGAGGTTCTGGCGATTTCTACTTTCTCAGGCATGCCAACCACATGTGGCGTAGCCTTCCACTCCTTACCTGTAGCTGGAGTACGGTACAACAACAATAACAACATAACCATCATCGCATCATTATCACCATCATCAAGAGGCCATATATTCATGTCTTCGTAGCTCCGGTGCGCGGGTCGACACCCCACAGGATGACCCTGCATATTCCATGTTCACTTTAGAGACATGTGTATCTGCCAGTGCAGTCGTGTCAACAAAGTCATTTTCTGCCTAGACTTTAGTAGCGGTGAACGGCTTTCAAAATACACCATCATCTCCGGAGCGACTCGGAAAGGCTCCACAACAACCGGATCGACGCGCCTCTGTCTCCCACACAACTTGACCAAATTTGCGCGTTATGACGTTCTCGGCCTCTCTGACTGCGCGATCGCCCCGAAGGTCCTCGACCCTTATCCAAGTTGGCTCCCAGACCGCTTTGCACTCAATGCATCCATCGTGGGACACCCGTACGCCAGCCAGTCGTCGAAACTCATATTCTTGACTCTTATCAGCCAGGGCACGTTTCTCTCCAACGCCGCCTTGCGCACTAGCAGTAGCGCGTACTTTCCTCTGCCGTAGGCTCCTCAGCTGGCTCCTCCGCAAAAGCGGTCGCTGCCCAATAGGAGCCTTCGACTTCGTTGTCAGTTTGAGGCGACTGGCCTCTCGAGTACTGGTAACTGAGGCTCACCATGGTCAGTACATTCACAGGAAGAAGGAAACGTGCGGAGCAGTGACCTTCGTCTGACGGAACGCAAATGATAGCCGGGCTCCGGGTTGCTTGCCCGACGTCAAGCGCTTGGTTACTAGGCGGATGGGCCTGGCGGCGATCGCCGTGGGTTCGCGTGAGTGCCGCTGCATTCGTCGTTATACCCTCAACAAGATCCCCCGTGGTTTCTGCTGCGATAGTCTCCGGTTGCGAAACTGCCGACCACAGTGGACCCGATCCACGATTGCCCTCGCCCATGTCGGATTCGGAGGATGCCTCGGATGTTTGTGGAAGGCATTCGCCTTCGCCGGGTACCGAGTCGGTGGGCAACAATGAAGACATTTGAATGGGAAAGTTCCAGGATGATCTACTAGGAGGCGGAGAGGGCCAGCGCTCCATTGTCTTCGAGGTCGTCTGGCCCGCTGTCCCAGGTAGTGTGATATGAGGTCGATCACGAATGGAAGACAACAAGAAGTTGAGGAGCAACGAAGCACCTGGCGGGCATCTGAGCTCTATATACTTGTCCGTCTGCTCAAGCCAGACGTTCGGGCAAATGGATGGCGAGGACGGGCCAGCTCCTCCATTAGCGGCCACATGACGTGCTTCCAGCCTTTCAGATAGTCAGCGTGCTACCACGAGAGGCCTGCCGCATGTCACCACCAGATGGGAGACTATGCTCGGGCCATCGCGCGGATCCTTGATGGCAGATCATGTGCTACCACTGAGCAGCTGAGAACCGCGCGTTCGCTTCTTGACTGAGTGATCTCGTAACCCGCGTGACGTTGGCTTCCGGGCTGCCAATGCCTCGCAATTTGTGAAGATGTCAGGACACCAACGACAAGATCACTCCATAAATCGGTCAAGGCAGGCCCCCTTGAGCAGGTACCCGGTCAATCGTGAGTAGGTAGAGATTTCGAGCCTCCAATCCGTCCGTTCAGCATTCTCGCTAGACCGGCTCATCTCGGGGACTAGGTGGCTATATTTCGCCCGGCCCCTTCACGACCATACTAAGACCGTTCCTTGACAGCCATGTGCGCTGGTGGAACCAAGTGCCTTTCGTTCCGTCGACAGTTCAGCACGGGCCGCACACTAAGGGAGGACGTAAACACCATATCCGCCACATGGAGCAAGCCCAAGGGCGAAAGATGCCAAGATGTTAGTCCAAAGTCCCCTAAGAGCCTTGCACGACGAGCGGACAGCATAGCGCCGTAAGGTTTCCTATCGCGCTCGATCAAGGCTCTGGGCCTAATTATTGCACGTCAGATCGCCGCGTACCATGTTTCGTCTGTAGGTCGATAGGATCCCCGGCTGAAACAGAACTGAGGAACAGTTCTACGTGGGAACCAAGACTTTCGCCGCCGAGTCGCTGTTCAATTATGCGCCAACACGTGTTCGGCTGCGACTGTGCAGTCATTTGTGCCAGAGCTGTTTCCCACTCCACGGCACGGTTATGCGATGGTCGAACCTTGCCGGGTCAACTGCAGGCTAACCCCAAATAGCGCCCCCAATCGTGGGGCCCTATGACCACCAATGAGATCGCTGCAGTTGGTGCCAGTCGGCCGCTCGTACGAGCCTATGATTGGCTTCTCCTGAACTGCGGAGTAACTGTCTTTCTGCGTTTATGGTGGACCCGGTGGTATGACGAGCGTCGACGAAGCGCGCCCGCCTGTAGTGCGCACGAAGCCGAATTCGGGTCCTCTCATCAACAGGGCCACCAAGCTCAGTATCAGCTTATATGCCCGCCGTGCCAAACCAACCTTCGTCGTACTGACGAACTGCTCTCGAGATGCACCAGGCCGGACCTCCTCGCACGTATGCTGTGGAGAAGAAGAAGCTGTGAACGAGGTGAACCCAGCATTGTGTAGTATCCAGAACGGGCCCAAAGACGCGGGGTTCCAGGCTCCCCTGGGCAGCAGTTCGGTGGACCCAAGAGACAGAAGCTCCGGACGGCCGTGGGGTTCAAACGAGAGACGCACGATAACACGGGCGGGCGACAGGGCCGCCATCAAACCCCCTGCCCGTGGATTATACGTACAGCTACGACCGAAACAGCTTTTACCGGCTAATAATGGATACAAACGCGCCATGGCGGCAGGCGTCGGCCTTCTCAGAGGCACGAGCGCGGCTAGCAGCTCGCACAACGTGTGCCAACATTCCACCATCCATGACACCGTCGATGGTGCAGATGGGATGAAGTAGCCACAAGATACACATTGCCAGCCACCTGGGCAAGACGCTGGCACGCACTGTCATTGATAGCTCCGGGCACAATGGACGGTACCAATGCCAGATGATACAGTGCCTCGGTGACTGCTGATCAAGGAGCGCCAGAGCTTCTTCCGCAGCCGTGGTTCCAAACTGGGCTGATCGCAGCCAAGCATTTGGTCCCAACAACCCAAAGGGGCAGCATCTCACGACATGCAGACGAAAGATGGATATGCAAGTAGAGTTTTCCAGGGGGTGTAAGAGTAGTAGAAGGTGAGGGTTGACCGGCCCACTGGTATTGTCGCACCCCTTGCCCCTACCGCCGCGGGGAGTCTGGCTCGGACGGCGCAGGCGAGCGAGAGGCCAAACAAAAATGTCGGCTGACATGGCAGACCGCCACCGTGGAGAGAGCTGGTGTGGACGCGTTTCACGTTCGCGCAAGGGCTGTAAAGGCTAACAAGAGGCAACCAGCAAGGTCTCCGCCTTCCGTTGCCGAAGGCGAGGCTTCCTGGTTCTGACTGGACGTAATGGCTTGAATCTGCTCGTGGTTACTGCACGTAGAGAAGTTACGGCGAGGCAACCTCTGCCTCTGCCTGTTGCCTGGAGGAACGAGGCAATGCAAACACCCGGCCTACCCGGACAACGAGGGAGATCAGGCATCCCCCCGTTGTCCTCGCGTCGGTCATCAGCCTTCTGCTTGCTCAAGCAATATATTCTTCGGTACGTGTTTCTGCTCATGGGCATAATGTCTTTCGATAAGTCCATCCTTCTCACAACATCTACGCATAAAGGACGTCATCGTTGTTTCCGTCAATAATGAACAGTAATAGCAATTGTCCTCCCTCCAGGCCAGGCGCAGGGTTAGAAATGATGCCATCGACGCTAACCTACACAGCATCCAAAGATGACCGCTCTGGGGCTGCCGAGGACGAGTCTACAGCTGCAGGACTGCGTCACGGCCGCGTCAGAAGGCGCTCAACCGCCTGTCAGCTTGAATATTCGGTTGAACTCGGGTACTGGAGACGTCGACCATTTCGACATCCAGTGTACGCGATCTTCGGACGGAAAGACACGATTTCGTTCATGGTTGCACGACAACGACATCACAAGCGTTTTGTCGATGACGACTTCCCCGGAAATTCTGGGACGCATGACGTTCCTTTCGAACAGATCGCGCTTGCCAGAAATCTCGAATGCCTGACCCAGCGGGAGGTCGAGACGTATTGCCGTATCCGGCGCGATCAGCGAATAAACGGCGAGCTTCCAGAAGACAAAGACGCCAACGAGGCCAATGCGTTGATTCAGGCACGCACAATCTGTTCACAGACGGACACAACATCCGCCCCCGAGAAGGACTCCTTTACACATCACCTGTCGCACCAGGTACAACGCCAGTATGGCACGAACGACCTTAAACGCTCATTCGGTGGCAGCGCTCCTCAGTCGGCCACACGATCATCTACGGCGGCTGCTCTGAAGTTCGATCCAGTCAGAGCGGCTGCATTGCAGCAGGCTGAAGCTGAGACAGACAGTCATGCCAAGGCCGTGGCTGCAGCCTATACCTTGGCCACCCTAGCAGCGGCAGCAACTGCAGCAATACCTAGAATTACCGTCCATGATGAGATCGTGGTTCACGGGACAACATACACTCACCAAGCCGATGGACCGTTTGCTGGCTGCTTTGTCTCACCTCGCCAAGTCATCACCCACGAAGAGGAGTGCTATGAGCGGCGTGTTGTGCTCACTAAGGTGTCTTCAGATGAATGTCCAGCACGATGTTGATGAGCAACATGCTTGTGGGCCTTGCAGTTTAACCTCACTAGTAATCGTTCTATGTATTTGGCTGTTGATTCATTGTATGAAACGCTTTGGATTCTAGACCAGTGCAATTGTCGAGCGTATTTGATGTGTTCCCTTGCCGCCCGAGTCCCAGAGAAAATTGACCGGCTTGATGCTACCATGCAAGTAGCTTTTGTCGTGGATGCAGTTGATGCGCGAGACGACCTGTTCGGCGATGAGGAGGACCGTTTTGAGAGCATGCGATGGCCATCCATCCACTTCTCGATGGGTCGGCATTTTCACCCTGCCCGCCGTCGCTCAAATGGCTGATTACCTGGACTATGAGTCACCGGTGCGGCTCATCTCACACATGAGAAGTTAGCAACGTTTCTGAATGAAGTGGCCAAACGAGGCGCCAACGATAAACTGCTAGATATGTACAGCAGGGGTCGAAGCGAGTGTAGGATCCGTACTCGGGAGAGAACTGTGGCAAAGAACTTGGCATTTGTGTAAGCCTCGGGTATAGCCAGAAACTCAGGGGCTATTATAAAGTACTGAGGAAATTTTGAACCAAGTTAACGATTATCTGGGCATGATACTGTCACCTTATGCCGACGCAAAAGTAGGGACGCGAGTGTTGTGGTGACCGTGACTCAGACTTCGTTGTCCAGGGCCATCTTTCACCAAGCATTGTTGTCCCTTTTCTGAGACGTGTGCTCAGTGTCCGCCTTCTCTTCCGCCTTTTACGCCATCAGGTCATCCCCGTGTGAGAATCCCAACCAAAAATTGGCACGGTTGGAAACCGGCAAGCTTTCACACACATGCCCACGAGTCAGCGATGCGCGGACGTCGTACCTGGGCGAGTGGCGTGTGAATGACGTTTGCGGTGTTGCTCCTCCCGTTTCCTAGTACAGTTGAACTACATGAGCCATCAAAGCGGTCGTTGAGAGCGTCTCGGCCATCGACCCGGACCACACGCCATCTCAAAGTGGATCTCCGAACTAGACAAGTTGTAAGACCCTTCAAGTCTTCCATACCCACATGTCTCTTAGCAAGCGCGTCACGGGCTTGGCAAGGCTGGCAATAGTCCATAATTCACCGCGTTCTGCTGTCGAAGATGTACTCCGTCGGAGAAAGTAGTGGATGACCACGACGATCCAGTCCCAAAAACTTGCATAAGGACTCGAATGAAGGCAACGGTGTCTGCTCCGTTTCTTGCCATTGCCGTGGGCTTTCACAAATATTGGCTAAAGTGGAAACCTGGATATTCTCCGGCGAGCTAACGGGGCCGGCAAACACATTGCTGTCCGTTCGTGGTGGCGCACTTGCAGCATCTCGCACCGGGTCGGCTGATCGTGGACCCCACTGTTTCGCTCCCCGGAGACGATTGATCAAACATGGAATCGCAGGCTTAGAGCAAGCGTATCACTCAGCATGTCTTTCACGGATATCCTGCCACGGCAGGTCGGCCAGCCTTTGGTCATAGAGCCAGCGGACCTGCTCGTCTGCAATCTCGCGGACCTGCGCTCTGGTGTTGATGGCTACAGCACGGCCAGTGGCTTTGGCCAGGCCCGGATTTGTAGCCTTATCTGCCACTTGAGCAGGCTCTCGAGACAGGTCGATATTGTTGTCAGCATCTGGAGGCATTATTCGGTAGACCATGGAGAATGCTCGTTAAATAGTCTGTAAGGGTTGTCTCTGCGCTTCGGCAATGCATGGCTCCCGCAAGATGCGGTACAAGTAGGTCCCGGGTCTTGACCTGCTGCGGCTTGAGGCCATCCAGACCACTGGACACAACGGCCACGCGGTGTGCCCTGTAATTGCGCTGCCCCTTTGGCGATCGACCGGTTTGGAGATCTCTACTGTTTGACAGTTCCTGGGGCTTACTTTGTTGATTGCTTTTGCGTATGACAAGTCGAGTAAACTCTTTTCATTTGATCCAAGTTGAGGCCAACCAGGTGGTCAGGCAGGTCGACACATTCCACAGGAACCACGTGATGGTGACAATCTAGGGGCAGGTGTTCGCCTGCCGTGGTCCAGGGCCGCACGTAGGCGCGCAGGCGATTCTTCATGTCGAGACGACCTAACACGGCTTGCTTCCTCCAATGCCCGAGTATTGTGGGATCAAGAAAGGTGTCCATGGGAAACCTGCGCTTGCTGTTGTCAGAGTCGTAGCGCTCGAGTGGCGGTCGCGTGGCATAGCGTCCGTCTGTTGAAGTTCCGGTCGTCTTGAGACGAACAGCTTGGGCGCCGCTCTGGGTGTTGATGGTCCTGAAAAGGCGTTGGTAGTATGGAGAGTCAAATTTGCCTACATGGATTCTCGACCCTCACCTGCAGGCCCATCGAGTCGGAGTTGTTGGGCGCACCACAGGCACGCGGACGGGGCAAACTCTGTCGACTCCCACTCCTCAGCTTCTAAGCGGCTCTGGCACAACGGAGAAGGCGTCCCTAGCAACGAAGGTTGGCGGCCGCAGGGCGAGGTACGACAGTTCGATGTTGGCGAGTGTCTCGCGCACCAGCCGCTCGAGCTCATTCAACAATTTCGGTACCAGCAGCAAAGGTACAATGCACGATAATATCAGGGGATCGCCATCATTAACCTCACCGTCTACTAGCCTGACACCGCTTCATTTAGCGCATTGTACCTGTTTACCCTGATTGTGACGGGGTGTCTTACCTTCGAGCTGGCGAGACGAAATGCTTGGTTGTGGGCCGCGCAATTCGGTATGACGGCTGGCAGAACACGCCTGACCACCGTGATGAACGCGCATCAATGTACCCTTTGCCATGGAAACCATCCACCATGAAGTGTGTCGCGCCACAGGGCCGTCCGGCTCAGGTCTAAACTCCGGTGGCAGGCAATGTGTACTTGGCGGGAACCTTCCGGTGTCCGCAGATGATGATTCGTGTCAACGGCGCTGTTATGATGTGTTCGCGTATCCAGATTCACGGGGACAGGTGCCTTCAAGCACCAACTTCAAACCTCAAGGCCGAATTGTACAGCGTCATTGTGTCGGCCAAGGAGGCAAAGCTGCAGCGCTAGCCGGATCACGAACCACTGCGGTGACAGCATGTTGTTGGTCGGTGAGGGTGCCCGTCACGGCGAGGGAGCGAAACACGCGTCAACTTGGCATAAGGCAACAAAGGTGACGACCCTCTTATGGCTAACCTTCGTACTCTAATGGTTCGACCACAGGCTCTTCATGCCAGGCTTTGCTGTTTTTTTGTGGTGCAACGGTCGCAGGAGACGATCTCTGAGACGGACAAAAGGCGTATCCAGCACCTTCGTCCGCGGGCGATCCGCTCATCATGCGCCACGGTAACGCCTGCGCGGTCCATTGTAGCCGCCGAAGCTGCGCTCGTTTTTCGCGACCTCAACAAATGTGCCACATATATCATTCTGCCATTCCTCGGATGTTTCTGAAGGCGATGGCCCCTGCCACGAAGGTCGGTAGGCTGTCTGTCATACCAAACCCACCCAGCATACTTATGTGATGCTACGACCCAGCTTTCTACTCCATAGCCGTCGAAGTTGTTTAGATTGATACACTCTCGCCCCACCGGGACCTTCAATATCCATTATCCGCCTGGGCGAGTACTGCAGGTCCTACAGGGCCGTGCCTGATTTAACCAGCACTTATGCCATCGCTTGCTGTTTCAAGTGCCTGTTGAGCCACTCTTCTAGCCTTCGAGCCTCTTCAATCTCCTCCATGGAGCGTACCACGCGCTGGACGCGGACTGCAGCTTCTAGTGTGCCCAACTCGATTGCCTTGTCCCGAAGGCCCGTAAGGAGCTCCAATGTCGGAGTTACCCCGCAATCATCCCCCAGTCCTTCAAAAAGATCTGGTATCCGATCGACAGACCTCCGAACGCATGAGATTAGGTGCTTGCTGTACTCGAGCACGGCGTGTGCAGATACTTTCGTTCCAGTAACCGCGTCTTTGGGCCAGGGCGGAGGCTGGAATTCAACGTGAAGTTCGCCACTCGTCGCCACTAGACGTCTGTTGTCGCTTGCGATCAACTGTTCCTCTTCAACAGAGAGTGGGTGGAGAAATTCGGCAAAGACACGACGCCATGAGAGTGTGTTAGCTTCGCTCTGGGGCGGCGAAAGCCCAAGGACAATGTAGAAGGCGATGACGAGAACGATTGTACCGCAATCGTAATCGTTCAACTGCAAAATAGGACACGTCACGACTGCCCTCTGCAAAGCACCCGCCGCCAGGGGGCCATTTGGAAGCAAGCCACCAAGAAGCTTGATTGCTTTTGTCTTGCGTTCTCGTAGCTCCGCTGGTATTCCCGGCCGCGAGTCGTAAATCTGTATCACATCACGGGACTCTCGGATGACCGCGAGGAGCCAGTGCTTGTCAACGCAGATTGGCATCAAGAGGGTCTCCTGCCCCTTCCACTCTTTCTCCATTCGGCGACGGTAGGCATGGGCGTCTCCGGGATTGGACGGGTCGAGCCAGAGAGAGTCGGTGACGGCTACTCCTCGAGGGTTGCAGTTCATAAAAACTTGAAGGATGGCATGCATCGCTTCGTCATTTATCCAAGAGGTTTCCTCCCGAATTGCGTCCAGAGACGCTACATTGACCTCGAACAAAGGTCGGTAATGGTGACGAGATTCAGGCATGTCGTCATCGAGCTCAATGATATCACTTGTTACCTTTGCTTTCTTCGGCGATGGCCAGCTTTCCGATTCTGACGATCTTTTGTGGCTGCTCGCTGGTTGATCTAAGCGGATTCTTCTCACAAGCGGCTCAGCGTTTTGGGATTCATTGGTGTCGGAATTACTCTCTGATGGCTCACTTTGTGAGCCAGGAGAGCTGGTGGCACGGTCGGTCGACGTAGATGGGTCGGTTGCTCCAAGGCCGAGCCCGCTGTCCGTATCGGCAGCGACAACTATGGAATCGTGAGGGGCTATAACAGGTTTTAGCATTTACGTAGGTGACCAGAGGGGGCAGAAGTACACGGATCTTTCGCCGGATTGGAACTGCGCCCCCGTACTAAGCTCGACGGCGGCTCATGCTGGAGGGGTGCAATGGCCTTGCCCGCTGGGGTGGACGACGTGTCGGGTGACTCTCGTATAAGGGGAGGGCTGCTGTTGACCAATTGTGCCTATCGAGACGAGTGTCAGCAGATCATAGGGCATTGTCTGGTTGCGACACCCACATTGAGCTTTCCCAGTGCCTCCCTGAAGTCTCTGGTAACCAAGCGAGCTATGGAGCGACTCTGGCTGCTCGATTCCTGCCGTCCGTGATAGACAGTCTCTAGAACTTTGTGGGCATCTGGCCAGGGGTGTTTTGCTAGTGCTTTCGCGTATTTCGACTTCTTCGTTGCGGGCGTGACGTCTCGACAGGACATGTACTCTTCCACGACTGGGTCGTCGAAATTCCACTGGCTCCGAGACGGCGTTCCCGAGTCTGACCCTATGTACTCTGGAGTCGGCATATTTCGGGCTACTGTCGGCGTTCAAGTTAGGCGTCGCAAGAGCTAGGTCATTAGTATCCATGGCATGTGCGATGATGGAGACGTTGGTATCAGAAATCTCTGGCGGTTTCGAAATGAGGCCTGGAGAGCAAGGCACCGTGTTTGGTTGCAGCGGGACTCTGTGGCAGATGCGCCAGTAGCTCCGGCGCTCCGGCCAATCGCGCGACTTTGGGTGAGCCGGGTGAGCCATGCGGGTGTGGTCGCGCGACCTGGGTGAGCCAGGCATCTCTGCAGCGCGGAGGGAGGGGCGGCTGGCACCAACGTTGGATGACTGCATTTCATTGGTCTTCGCGTCACAGACGGTGTCGCGCCTCCCTCACGACCGTGCCATCGCCAACCTCACACCACCGCGCGTCAACGACGCCCATGGACGCTTTCCGCTGAACATACGAGGCACGCTGGCTCAAGTTGAGCGAGTGCCGCCACAGAGACATATGTGGTCGTCGCCCACTGCAAAGCGCTCGATGGTCCCGCCGCTTGCCCGACCCGACCAAAGTCGATTCTATCGAACTTCATCCCCCTTCTCGGTATCGACGGACACGTCTCGGGCGATTGCGCCACGCGGCGAAGAACGACCGGGCGGCCAACGCGCTGTCAGCAATATGGAGGATGCATTGTGTGTCACGGACCAATATCACGCTCCGAACGGACGATTCTCGCCATAACGCCGTAGCGGACGACGGTCGAGTCCGCCGGTGGTGCGGTACGCGTCATGAGCTTGTCATTGGGCGACGTCGGTCAGCTTGGACAAAGAGGCGACTGCCATGACCAGGGTTTGACCACAGGTGTCGCGCATGATGACCTTGCGGCCAAGATTCCCCCGCCCGGCACACGCATTTCACGGCGGAGACATCTCTCAACGTAGCTTGGGCCGACTTTCGCTCCTCCGGAGGAGCGGCTGCTCTGTCAACTCAAGATGGAGCATTGGATGAAGCGAAGTGCATTTGCCAACTTCTTTATTGGCTATAAATCGAGTAGGTGTGACGGGAGGCTACGCAGGAGCCGTCAAATTCCGGAGAGCCTCCAATGCTCGCACGCCGCCTTCGACGCCTAAATGGCCTCGGGGCTGGTGTGCTCCTACCGGCAGGCTCGACTACGTCCAGGTCTCGAACCATCCGCAACATGAGAACCACCTGTCGTTCATCAGCCTGTTCAGACGCCGCGGGCCGGTGCTTATAAGTCGACCGGCGACGACTGGAAACTCCGCTGTATACGAGACGGTGCAGGCTATCTTTCCGTGGAAGGCTACGACGGAAGAACCTCTGTCAAATCGTCGCGTCAAGGACTGCGTCGTCTAGGGGCTTCATGTGCTCGAACTTCTCCTGACGTATCATGTCCGCGGTATCGGCTGCCGTCGCATTTCTCGTGGGCGCGAACATGGGAGACACCTTTTCTTTCTCTGCTGCAGCAACATCGGTATCGTCACCCGTCGTTTTCGAGCCCTCCTGGAGATGGCTGCTGCCGGATCGCAGCTCACAGTCGATCGTCATGCCGTCTGATGCCTGGCTTTGACCGTCGAGCCGATTGGCGGTAGCGCATGTTGCCGGTGATGGGTTCATGTTCGAGGCTTTGACTTTGATCCGACTGATATGTCGCTGATGATCGTGTTCGGGATGGCGATGGAGGAAGGAAAAGGCCTTGAGCAAGGTGGTCCTGGGAACGAAGCCAAACCCGTACGTAACATCAGTAGGCCCCCCTGCACACCTACCTATCCGGCGCCCCCAGACTCGACGGCATGCTCGTGTCAAATGTTTTGATTTGGAACTGGGGTTTACGGATCGTGAAGCCGGACGGCTGGGAAGGGAATGGAAACCTGGAAGCGCTCTGGCGGGGGTGGGTGCGCCGCGGAGCCCCCGCAGGTGCATGTCACCACCGGGGCACTCGCCAGGGCCACTTCTAAGTTCTGTCACCCCACAGTGAAGAGAGCCGGTCGGTCGGTCACCTCACCTTTGTCGCCGCCCTCGACGAATCCCGTAAGCATGCCGACGAAACTATTTCAAGAGAAGATACTGGTCCTGATCTGCTGTGTCGTCGGCGAGGCGGCAAACAAAAAGCCTGTGACCTTACTGTGCCTCACATCGCGTCACGTCCACCAAAACAAGTTTTTTATCACTGGGCCTGACGGCATACCTCATCACCATCTGCATGGCGCCGCTTTCCATGGCGCAATTAACCCATCAGTGTACAGCGGCATCGTCTTCACGAGCTTCAGCTGTGTGCTCCAAAACAAAGGGCCCGCAACAGGCCAGACATGCCTCGACGACATCAGGTTCGCATGGCCTGCCAACGCTGCAGGAAAAAAAGAGCAAAGGTGAGCGCTCATAGATGCCCGGGGCCACGCCACAGTAAATTCTTGCTTTGGCGAGACATTGCCCATCTTTGCGTCTGCGACCTTTCGTCGGAGTCTTCTCCGTGCTCTATGTCGCAACGTCAATGGTGCCACTTACAACTCCCCCATCGGTCGCACCTCACCGAATGCACAAGCACCCAATTTCGTGGCGACATCCAGCCCCGGCTGACCCATCTGGCTCTGTTGCAGTGTAACGGCGAGGACCCCTGCGAAAGATGCAGGGAGGCAGGTCAAGAGTGCGTCTTCGACCACTCCCGGCGGGAGTCGAAGGACGACTTGCGCGCCGAGATCGAGCGATTGCGACGCATCAACGAACGTAGCGATGCGCTTCTCGACGCACTCTCCTCCATGGACGACGCCGACACGTATCGCAAGGTAGCACAGGGCCTCATGAACGGCACCATCACCCGGCAGTCCATTTATAACGATCTCCCCACCCAATTCAGGGTCTCTGGACCGCCCCTACCTGTTCCCGCCGGCGTCATCGCATCGTCTCTCCGTCGAAACTCGCAGGCCACCGCTTCTTCCCGGGCCTCCAGTACCGATGTCCGGCCAGCAACATGTCCGCATTGTTTCGGCAACCTGCCCGCTGCGTCTTCGCTAGCCGATAGCGACGAATGTTCCGGGAGGACAAGCGAGCGGCACCCGTCGGCGGAATCGCAGTCCGAGGCCAATTGGCTCACGACGCTGAGCTCCGCTGCCGGCCCCCCTTCCCTTCTTTCGTTATCTGGGAACGAAAAGCTGCAGCAGGTCGCGCCCTGGACGCGTACTGGGTGGTCGATCGAGAGGGTCAGGACCCATCTTGAGTCGCTCCTGACGTGGGACTATCTGCCCTTCTGTTTCCTCTGCAAGGACCCCTTTCTGCAGGACTTTGCAAGCGGAGAGGAGTGTTACTGCTCTCCGGCGCTTGTCAACTCCCTCCTCGCCCTATCGACGAGAATCGTGGATGAGCATCAGCAAGCCCATCCACAGAAAAGACGAGCAAGAGCCGAAGAACTATCTCGTCAGAGCGGCCGAGTGCGGGTCTCCCTCCTCTGGCTGTCCTGATAGTCAGGCCTTGTTCGACGAGGCTGATGCTCTCATAAGCGGACACGGCCAGCCGGGCAGCCTCCCGGATATCCAAGCTCTTGGCATGCTGGCCCTTTATCAAGTGGGCTGTGGTCACGAGGCCGAGGCGAGAGAGCTTGCCGAGGCGTTTGCGGCAGCGATTACAGAATTATGCCTGAAACAACCGGTCGCCGCAGACAGCCAGGACAACCAGTACGCCCTGGTTCGCGCGACGACATACTGCGGAGCCATCTCGCTCGTCCGGTATGTAGTTTTGGCCCACCCGTCCTTCTCTATCGACGAACTGACTGGAAGTGTCTCCTCCTTTGTCGCACAGAATACTCAAACTCATAACAGCCCAACCTTCTGGGATGCACGTCACACTGTTGCAGGACGATGGGGTTGCTCTTGACCAGCCGCCCTGCGCCTACGGGCTGAACAACGCGTCCGTTCCATCTAGCGAATCGTGCGAGTGTCAAAAACATCAGCCCAAGCACAGAAACAACCCAGCATGGAGGGCTGACCGCGCCAATACAGTTACGCTAACGGGCGAGCCCGGGTCTCAACTCAGCAGCCTGCAGCTCATCCCGGCCAAGATTTTCCAGCTCATCGAATGGGTGTACAAAGTCCTCGCGTCGCCACAAACCGCCACTAATGATGAGCTGGTGCTGGTATACCATCGGTGTCTCAACTGGTACGAGAGCTTCTTTGCCATGCTCAAGTCAGACGGAAGCAATTCGCCTTTTGTGCTTTTCATCCAGTAGGACCCCGCATACGATCCTCGAATATTGCCCAGGACAGGCACTCTTGCCTACATATTCGTCTCCCGACGATGGCGGCATCTGTGACTGCGTCACTGGCCTGGCGGTCCATGTACAACGCTAACACTTGAATACAGTATCTACTACCAGTTCTGTCTGCTCTCCCTTTTCAGGCCCCATCTGAGCGCGCCTCTCGAAGGACTCAGCGCGCATCCCCGCGAGATTTGTCTACAGGCCGCACAGTCATCCTTGCGCTCTCGCAGTCGTACGCTGGCGTGTTCGGCCTGCAGCGGGTATCTCCGCTGGTGCCGTACTTTGTGTGTGCGGCGGGGCTTTTAAGTCTCGCCGTCGAGGAGGCCGCCAACTGTATGCTCGAAACCGTGCCCACACCACAGCTCCACAGAGACGAAGATATCGCCGTCAAGCCGCCTAAGTCCCCGGAAGACACGATCAAGAAGGAGCCCGATGATGACCCTATGAACGTGGGCACGTTCCACAGCTACGCATTAGACATCAAATGGCACGCGGAACCATCGTACGTCAATAAGCCGAACGTCAATATGCCGGCAGTGGCGCACGCGCGACTGCTGCTGTCCAAGATGAGCGAGGTGCACCCTGCGGCCACCCTCGCTGAGAGCATGCTTCACAGGGCGCCTGGCAGGAACTAAGCTGACACATCGATGTATTATGGACGCGCCACGACTCATGCAGACTAGCCTCACGGAAAGCCCGTCGGACAAGGGAAACGGCATGGCGGGGCGGAGTTAATGCTGCGGTCAGGGCAGCAATTCAAGATTTTCCTTCGACTTCCTCCAGCCCCAAGAACTTGCGCACCGACGTGGCGGCAGCATCTATCTCGAAACGAGCAATCGCCGGCACGAGAGCGCTTGGCCTGGCCTCAGGTACAGTTCGCGGCAATTTTCACCGGCGACGGGCGAGAATCCTCGCATCCTAGCAATGGGGCCAGCTTGACTCCTCGGCCATGTGAATCGAATGCACTGTACGCACTCGATGCATTGGGGGCGATCGTCCTTGCCTGCGCTCCCGCGACCACCACTCGCGCCATCGAAATACCCTTGACGATGTCTCCCGGGCGCCCTGGTCCACAGTCAGGTCAGTAGCAGCATACCTCTCAAGAGAGGCGCAACGGTTGCGCATCTTGACGCGTCGCGAGGAGTTAGGAGAGGCGTTCGAGCGGGGTTGGCGCAACGAAGGATTGAGGTGCAAACAGAGACTTACAGCTTGTAAGCCCGCGGTAGGTGGGAGTGGCTTGCGCCTCGGCCACAGACTAACTTAGCGACTCAGGTCAGACTTCGATCTCTCCTGGTGCACAGAATATGACGGATTGACCAAGGTCGAGCTTTCTCTTGCGTACACAGGCTCTTGAGATAAGGCGGCTCTAGAGTTTCATCTCCTCGGTGTCGCTGAAGCAACTCTGGACTCTGCCGGAAGAAACGTGGACCGCCGTGGCGCCTGGCGGGACGGCCCGGACACTACGGCTCGCTCAGCTGAGGCTACTGAGCGCCACTTGTGGCTTCACAGCCACAACACTGGGGTGGCTGTGCCTCGAGGTCTGTCAGGGGCATGGCCGGTGTTCATCCCCCTACGACCCGAACCCGCAGCGCTGAGATGACAACGGAAGACCCGCGACTCACTGCTAGAGTGCAGTGGTGGGATGGTCATAATATATGTGTCCTGTGCCTTGGTGCGACGAGCGTCACTACCATGGCTTCAATGGCGAATACATTTCGTATTCGTTGATGGTTATGTTCAGTCCTGGGGCGGCAATTGCACGATGCCTAGGCCGAGATCGTCCCTGTGCATCACCAGTTGGGGGAGGCTGATGACTGCTGCGGCTCAGCCGCACAGCTCAGCCGTACAACTCAGCCGCACAGCTCAGGCAGCCATCATCACCACCACTATTCTTATCGCTTCCATTAACATCGCCGGCCTCTGGTCATGTCACTCTCTGTTCGACTACAATCATTACACGTAGTGCATCATGCCGCAGGTATCGTCTATTTTGCGAGATTACGACACCACGCAGCCCACGGCTGAAGGCTGTGAACATCTCGACCGCATTGTGGTGGAAAGGCTTCGCCAAAGCCCTAACGTCTTCTCCATCTTCGCCCTTGCTGCATCGTTTGATATACCATTTTGCGACCTGCCTTCCTTAAAGGGCATTCCTGACGAGCATTCCGAGCTTCCTGCGAGAAGCCATGGCTTGGGGACTGGGGTCTCCTGCACCGTTACCATTCACAAAACCGGCCATGCGGAAAAAGACCACTACCCATCAGGTCTGTGGTTGCACTGCGGTTTTCTTCATTGAGCTCCCTTTGTAACCATAAGTGCACAATTAAGGTACGCTGGTTGCGCTCAAGAAATACAACGCAACCCCGGACGACCTCCCCGGCGGCGGACAAGCGAACCGAAGGCTGTGCCAGCTGCTGTGGCAGGAGCTGAGCGTCTTTACGCACCCATACTTACGACATCATGAGCACATTTGCAAGTTGCTTTATATCGGCTGGGAGAGCAACTCGATCGTTCCTAGCCTAGCCCTAGAACTGGCGCAATATGGTAACTCTCTGCGTGACTGATGTTGCAGCTCTGGTCTGATTGTAAGCTCCGGGTAGGCACTCTCGAAGATTGCCTGCAACAGCTTAGATCCTACCATTCATCCGTCACAAAGGCCCACCTCAGCTGCGATATTGCACTGGGGCTGGCGGCCATTCATGCTTGCGGTCTGGTACATGGGGATATCAAGCCTGGTAACATCATCATTCAAGCGCACTCATCACGAAACATCGTGGCCAAGCTTTCCGACTTTAACGGAGTCGGTCCTGCCGAAAGCTATGGATCCAATGCATATTGCTTTGGGACCCCCGAATGGCAGGCGCCAGAAGCCATGATTCAAGAGGCACAAGTCGACTGGCAGCTCTGCGACGTTTATTCCTTCGCCATGGTCATTGCTACTGTCTGGACAAAAAGCGGTTACATACCAGCTGGAGGTAGCTTCCTTGACACATGTCTTCCGTACAAACTCGACAATGGGGAGAGAAGAACCTGGATTCTCAACTGCAAACTCAATCGTGATGAGTCGGAGACAAGCCTACTAAGGCTGGCGTTGAGCGCAATTCCTGAAACTGAGCTCGACATCTCCCTAGCAGGAATCCTAGCTTCTGGGCTCTCGACTCAACCAACGAGGAGGTTGGCTATGGCCACGGTGATAACCACTTGTTTCGTCAACTTCGCGGCGGAGACTGGTAGAGCTCTCAGGTAAATATTTGGACCTTCGTGGTGATTCTCTGCCGTCAGCGCAGAGCCTTGACTTACTTGAGCCGGTAGCTTTGCTCCAGACACAGCCCTCGTTGCAAACATGCCCTACGATACAGCTGACGCATTTGGAACACTTTTCGTAGGTTATCGTGATGGCGTCTTGCCCAAATAATCTCTTAACATATCTCGACAGGTTTTGGAGCCCAAGTATATTGAGCGAAGCAGCACATTCAAGAAAACCATGCTCAAGGCCTTACTAGCGGCGGGTACTGAGCTTCGAGCCATGGTACAGATGCCAACTGTCTCCGATCTTAAGAAGGGCATCACGGTTTCCGACGAAGGTCTCTACCATTTTCTCATGATTCAAGGCAATCGCGTGAAAGCTGCCTTGGCTGAACACGATAATCTTTTCCGTCTCGCCATTGTCGCAGCGAACATTTCTCTATCGTATCTTTTGGGCATAGGCAACCCAGTGAGGGAGCATTTCGCACGAGCATGGCTGTGTGTCGCTGCAGGAGCTGGAGAAGGCAACTCGTCGCATCTCTTCGGCCCTCTTGAGCAATCCATCATGGTGGATCAAAGCAACATACCACGTAGGCTCTGGTGCGCTCTCGGGACTTGGGCAGGCTATCTGGAGACAGCCCAATGCCTCAAAGATATGGACCCGAGTCTATACGAAGTGGCGATACGTATGCATCGGCGGCGCTATTGGGGGAGACCTAGTCCTCAGATTGTCGGGATTGAGCCCTATCTCCCAGATTGGATCGCCGAGATCCGAGAGGATCGTGAATTGGTAGACAGGCAAGTCCCAAGCAGACGAGGGCACCGGGACATCAACGAGACGGCACTGCATCTCTGTGCCGCTACGGGCGATCTCGAGTCCGCGATGTACCTCGTTGGCTCTGCCGGTGCTAACATCAACGCCCTGAACGCCCGCAATGAGACTCCACTTTTCTACGCAACACGCGCAGGCCAGTTTGAGATGGCGAGATTCTTATTCGAGCAAGGAGCCGAAGTCGGTCAGATCACCACCGAGGGCTATGCCATTACCCATTTCCTGTCTATGATGGACGATGACCATGGCGCAGAGTTGGCCCCTCTCTACGTTAAGCGCGGTGCGGTTTTGGATATTGCTGCAGAGGTACCCCAAAAGGTGTTCAGCGATAATTTCACTCGTGGCAGAGGCATCCCGCTATTCTGGGCCGCGTTAAAAGTGCGCCCACTGTTATTCACGGCGTTCCTCAAGATGCACACGAAAGCCGACTTTCGCATTAGTAGGGCCGACGTCTTGCAACTTCTCACGCTACTTGCGACGCTTAACCTTTACACGATGCTGGACACCGCCCTTAAACTGGCACCGGAGGTCATTGATCGAGCACAGAACTTACCTAGGAATCCGGACATTGACGTTGTCGGACAGTTTTTCCATAGCCTCAGCCTCAATTCGCCGGGCGAGAATGGACAACTTATGGACCCTGCCCTTGCAACGGCTCTTCTGTACAATGCAATGGACACTTGGCCTCCAGTCGTGCTTCATAGAAGATACATCTCACGGGACAAGTTTAGCTACAATAAGGAGAGGACGCTATCCCTACTCTTGCACCTGGGGGCAGATCCACTAGCCTCGGCTTCGCGTCCTACTACCGGAGAAGAGGGGGAAGAAGGTGAGCAAGAAATACCTCTAACGGTAGCGGTATACACCGGCGACACGCTTGCCTTTCGGCTGTTCTTGCAACACATTACGGATCGTGGCATGGATCCGTTACCCTATCTCGCCGATCCAGGGCGCTACGGCGGGTATAGTGCGCTACAGAGGAGTATATATAGCGACTCTCGCGATATCTTCTTCTACCTGCTGGATGAGTATCCTTCTCTTGTCGAGCTCGTCGGGGAGAAGGGCCGCAGGCCTCTTCACTCAGCGGCAACGCAAATATGGCCCGGATACGCGGCAGCGCTTCTCCGCTGCGGCGCGAACCCGTACGACCGCTCCCGCGACCGGTCCACTCCCTTCACCTGGGCTCTCATGCGGAATCCCAGTCTTGAGGTCGTCGAAGTCCTGGTTGAGTTCTGCGATGATATGGACCGCATTTTAGGCCACGACGAGCAGAGCGGCTTCACTGCTTTTGGGAAATTACTGAGCGCTCTGATCAGTTATCGAATGGACTTCGGTATCGACCGCCTCCGATATTTCGTAAATAGGTTTGGGACTCCGCCATTCTTCACCTGGGTGCATAGGACGCAGCCATGGGGCACGACCGTTTTTAGAACGGTTCTGGCCCAGAAGACATCCCCGACTGACAGGGCGCATCTTGCACTCGAGATGTCAGTCTTGGAGTTCTTGTTGGATCTCTACCCCGAAAAGATTGATTTTATCGACTATTCTGGCAGGGCTGCTTTGCACTACGCGGCTATGTATGGCAACTCTTCGGCCGTGGAGCTGCTCCTCCGCCGGGGGGCTATGGCAGGGCTCGAAATGCAGGCATCACACGTTTCGTTGGATCCAACTGGTCAGAGGGGGTTTGTTGGATACACTGCTCTTGACCTCGCGGTAAAGTATCAGCGAGTCGGCCCCGGAGAAGAGGTTCTGCGCGGCGGACGTCGAGAGATTGAGGCATGGGACGCTAACATGCAGAAAACGATACGCATCTTGATCGAGACTGACGGCGGTCGGTCGGGGAGCGGCGTACGGTTGCACGATCGCTTATTGACGGCTATGGCGGCTAGGCATCTGAGCCATGTTCATGTTCACATTGGAAGCAGTAGGTGGCCACATTGAGCTAGACCACGTCTTCTTTTCCTATATTGGCCACATTCAGACTTACGATTTCGTGTTTAAAGGAAGAGCACTGCGTGCTGACCGGAGCGGCGACGGTGACTGGCCGCAGGCACTCCCTCACGACGGCCTGGAACCGGCGGCTTTCAACGTCGAGGGGTATAGCGAGGAAGACAACGAGCCGGTGGAGGTTATCGACGTGACGGGCCTGTCCGTCAGGATGCCACAGCGCTCGCTGAGGATGATGCAGGATCTTCTCGGTGCCACCGACCCAGCAGTGGTGGCTGGGAATCTGGTAGAGGACCTCCCCCCACCCCCTGAGGGGTATCTGAGCACCTTACAGGCGCAACTCTCGCAGCGGAGGGCCGAAAGGTCAAGATCTGCATCGTCCCTGCCTCCTGGCTGGGAGGCGAGAGTACAAGGGTCGAGCGGGAGGGTGTACTATGTGGACCATAATACGCGGACGACTACGTGGCTGCCTCCGAGTCAGTAATGACTTGTACGGAAGTAGACTCCTCGGTTGCTGTAATCTTAAGGGGCGGTAGAACGACATTTTCAGGATGATCTTTTAGGGAACAGCCAGTTTCACATAATGCACTATATGTTCGTTTTCTTAAAACAGTTTGAGCTGGAATAACGGAATACTCTCAGTTGTTGTCATGCCGTATCATTAACCAGGTCAGACACGATGAAGTCAACATGCCTGACGCAAACCAACACCCCTCCCCCACCAAATCACTTCTTGTACATGACTCTGCCTCGCACAATGTGAGAGACTTTCGCTTCTCTACGCTTTCAGCATGGCCAGCGGCCTCACCACCCTCTGGAAAAACGCATCCCCCAGCGCTCTCGCCTCGTCCGCCGCGCTTAACCCGTCCGGCACCCCAAACGACCCCGTCAGGCATCGCTCGACGACGTCGACAAACGTTCTCCCAACCATTCCCGCCAGGTCGTCGCCAAATTTGCCCCGCACATCGGCGAGCATCGCCGCCGACACCTCCCCCATGGTCATGGCCCGGTAGCGCGCCTCGAACGCGGGCCGCCAGTGCGCCACCTCCAGCAACACCACGCCCAGGCTATACAGCTCCCGCGCCTTGGTCCAGCCACCCGCGCCACCACTGCCGCCGCTGCCGTAGCTGCCCGACGATGACGACGATGATACAGGTACCGCAATCACCACCTCCGGGTGGTAGTAGTAATCGAGCTCGGGCACGCCGGTCGGGCGGCCCTCGAGGGAGGCGTCGCCCGCCGGACGGCTGTACTGGAAGCCGGCGATCTGCGGGACCGTGATGTCCACGTCCACGCCGGCGTCGGCGCCAGCTGCGGCCCCGTGTCCCGAGGACAGCGGGGACGGCGGCGTGAACAGTATGTTGTCGCTACGCAGCGACTTATGGATCCAGTCGGTGGCATGCAGCAGCGACACGGCCGATGCGAGCTTGTACGCCAGCTCGAAGCGCGCCCCGAGGGGAGGTCGCGTGCGCGCCCGGCCGGCGGCGCGCAGCAGGTCCGCCAGCGAGACGGGGAGGAGGCTGCTACTGGCGGCGGAGGAGCTGTTTCGGTAGACGAAGCCGATGCGGCGGCTGCGGCTCCTGTGGCGGTCCCTGTAGTCGACATCGTCGTACACGCCGAGGCAGGCCGGCCGGTAAAAGGCCGCGGCGTTGTCCGTCGAGAGCAGTGCGCCCAGCGCGTGAACACGGAGGATGATGTCGTCCATGGTGCTGCTGGGGCTGGTGGTGCTGCCGCCGCTGCTGACGCTCTCTACGGCTTTCCACTCGATCCAGACCGGCTCCGGCAAGCTGTTGCCGCTACTGCCAGGCGTTGTCTGGCTCGTGTATGTACCACTGCAACGCTTGCTCGTGTCGTTGGACAGTGCGTCCCAGAGACGAAGCTCCGAGGCGTGGATGTGCTTCACCTTAGCCGCCAGCTCCGACACCGTCTCGCCCTGCATCTTCTTGAGCCGCGCAGCCAGTGCCAAAAGCGAGGCTGTGCCGTCGCTGCCTCTCCCGAGGCTCGACGACGACGACGACGGCGGCGGCGGCGAGGTCTGCTGCAGTAGCGAAGCGAGCGACAGCTGGTCGCTCAGGCCACTAAGCACCCCTGTGACGATGCCCAGCGTGTCCACACGCAACTCCTCGGGTGCCGCCACGACAACCACGTCCCACAGGTTCTGGTTCAGCGTCGCGAGTCGCGCGATCAATTCGCCGAACTTGTCCCTGTCGCGTGCCGCCCAGCGGAGGCGGTGTGTCTGCGGGATCTGGGCCCGCGCCTCTGCGAGGAGCGCAACCCACTTGCTCCGCCGGTGAAACGTCTCCGGTCCAGCTCCTCTTCCTACTGCTGCTGTTGCGGTCCTTGTTACCGCGGTGTGCTGCTGCTGTGGCGGCGGCGGCAAAGAGGCGCCAGCGTCAGCGCCAGCGATGGTGGCGGCAGTGGTGGCAACGACCGGCTCAACGTGATACCTCGCGATGTATTCCACAGCCAACTCGTGCGTGGCGTTGATCTCGGCCACGATTCGCCATATGGCATCGCGCGTGATGCGCGGTTGCTTAAGCAGCAGACACTCACCACCACCACCTCCACCTACCTTATTATCGTCATCGTCATCGTTTTCGTCGTCGACGTCGACGTCGTACACCCTGAAGTGCCGCGCCCAGACCTCGAGCTTGACCTTTTCGACGTGGTACTGCGTCGCCGCGAAGCGCAGCCCGTTGTCCCTCTCGCACGCGTCGGCCAGCATGTTGAGGCCGTCGATGGCGCCCTTGACAGAAACCAGTAGGCCCGCCACAGCCAGCGATATGCCGGCGACCTCGAAGCCCGACATGGCACGCACGCGTGCGTAGGGTTGTTGTGGAGGAAGTGGAAGAAGGGTTGTCAGATTAGTCTCCTGTTTGCTCAAGAGTTGATGGCTTATAAATGTTTTTCCTCTGGATGGGGGGTTGATAGACCTTCTCGATAAGCATTCACCCTTGTGGCTGAAGGATTTGATGGATGAGCAATGAGCTGTTCATTTTACTCAGAGGTTCATGAATCATCAGTCGGCATGTCCTGTCTGCTGGTGGGCATCGGAGGATGTGGTGCTCTTTAAGATGGCTGCCTGAAGCCTCAGCCACTGAGGCTGCAGCACAGCCCCGGATGCGTTCAGCCGTAGCAACACTATTGCTTTCAAGGCTAAATTCAATCTATTTCTAAACTTCATACTGACAGGTGCATAACGAATGTCGGGATTGGCGGCCAATTAGAAAGATTCAAAAGTGGTCAATTCCGGTGATGGGTAGTACCTTGTGGCTGACGCTGTGTGGTAGAGTGCCACTTCAACTTCAGCTTGAGGGATCATGTACAGCTTCAGCCTGTGCTACAGATACTGCCCCCTGCCCATCCCCCGATACGATACGATACGATAATTATTTAACGCCCGGGAGCTATAGTGATAGCTGAAAGCCACTATTGGGGCAAAGGACGTGCTAGGCTGCTGTTTCTAATGCACAAAGATGCTGCTGGATCGGGTTGTATGGCGGCTGGTTTCTCGCCTGTTGTCTAGGTTAGCGGCCAAAGCTGGCTTGCTGCCTGAGGCGCCAGCGACAGATTCCCTGCAGCCCCACCATCCCCAGCGCGTCCTCATTTCAAAACAAACACCATCTAGCATCTCACCGACTCAAAGGCGCTCTTTCGTCGGAGCCTCGCACCCGTCTGGGGCTTCGGTCGTCCACCATGCTTTGAAGGCATCTCTGGGCTGCTGTCGTGCCAGTCGGCGCAGGTGTGCCAGTGATGGCACAGCCCCCGTCGGCTCAGGCAGCAGACATCCAGCTTTGGCAAGGCCGTCGGCCTCCTCATTGCAGACAGGGTAGTATGGCCGCAGCTTTTCGGAGTTCAATTCTGAGGCCTCGAGAACAAGACTGTCTGTACGGCGGACCTCCTCATCGTGGCTTTATAAGTACGTGCGCGCGGGAACGATACGACATGAGATCATCGAACTGAGCTACAGTTGCAGAGTTCCGGAGCCTCAGCCCTTGCTCGAAGAATGGCCGCTCTCTGATGCAATCCTGAAGTGCGTCCACGACAGAACAATGACCGAGAATATGTCGCACGCCCAACATTTCGGGGTTTGGCCTAGCCTGAAGACAAGCCATGATATCGTCCTCATCTACGAGCACGGACGTTTCGGCAACCCGGACGAATACATCGCCAAAAAGTTGAAGCTGGAAATGGTGGTGTTCTCGCAACGAAGCACGCAGATGGAGAAGCATACCGTGTACGTAATGCAGCGGTGTTGACAGCCGGTTGTCCAGCGGGTGTCAGCGGGTGGTGATGGCCGACAGTTTGCGCTCATCCGGCATGCTAGGTAGTCTTCCACTCATAACCCCTGGGTGGTGGAAGAGGATTTCAAGCTATCTCCTGAAAGGCTAAATGGAATGGCCGCCATTGTTGCTCCCCACCTTGCGGCCCCTGTGGCCCTGCCGGACCCTGATCTCCAGGAGGTCCCTGGATGCCGGGTGGCCCTTGAGGACCCATGGGACCTTGCATGCCGGCGAGACCAATGTCACCTTGACGTCCCGGTTCTCCTTGAGGACCCGCGGGACCGGGTGGGCCACGAGGGCCATCCTGTCCCTGGCGACCATCTCTACCGTCCCGTCCGTCGTTTCCGGGACGCCCATCCCGGCCATCACGCCCATCTTGGCCCGTTCGTCCGTCCCGTCCATCTCGCCCAGGATCACCGGGAGGCCCTTGGTCTCCTCGTGGACCAGGGGACCCCGGTTCGCCCCGAGGACCAGGAGGGCCAGCAGGCCCGGCAGGCCCGGGCGGCCCTGGCCTACCGCGGCAACTGCGCCCAGCGCCATGTTGACGAGGTTTCCACCCATCATTGCACTGCGTTGCCTTGGTGCCTCTCACCCGCCCTTTCCAGCAGACACAAGCGATAGCGAGTCCCAGAAGGAACACACCAAGAAGAACGCCGACAAGTATGGTGACTTTTTCATCGGTCATTTGACTAGACGTTGCACTGGTCCGCTGCGTTGGGACCGTCTCGGCAGCAGGTGTGGTTGCAACGTTCCCGTTGCCCGTCCCCCCTAATGATATGGTCCTGGTGTGAGTTTGCCGGCTTCTTGTCACGGTGAGTTTAACGAAGCGGGAATAGGAGGCAACGGCCCTCTTGGCCGATTCGTGCATTGGGGACTTTGGAAGGGCGGAGCATGCTCTGTTAATGGCCATTATTATAGCTGTTGTTTCAGGAAGATGTCGGGAGCATGTATGCCAGCGGTCATGGAGCGCGCGGTTGCGACTTGTTTGTCGGTAGGATGAAGGGTCTATTATCTCTTGCCCGTGCCACGACATGACATCGCCCTCATCAACCTTCCGTACCGCATCGTTCGTTCAGCGGGGCCGTCTTGGCTAGCCACACAACAGGTCAGCTTCTGCTGCATGTGCATGCCGTTCGAACCAACAGCATAAAGCACCCCAACCAGACGCTGACACGACGTGAACATCTCGACGCGGGGTACGCAGTATCGTGCAGACAACCATCTCGTTACCCCATGTGCATGTACAGCGTACGCCGCCCGGGCCGTCCCGCGGGTCGTTCGGGCCGTTCATGCCCAAAACGGTGGACGTCCGTCTGGAGGCTCCCGAGCCCGAGCCTATCAAGTGTGCGCAGACTTCGGTGTTCGTATCAAGGTGAGTCCCATCCGACGCAGCAGCGCTAGGGTCGCATTTGCGGCTTCACCCCCGTGACGACGTAATCCTACTGTTCCGCCCGGTTCTAGGACAACGCCGAGTTTTACCAGTCCACTGTCGCTGATTCCTATCCTTTGTATGGGGCTTCGCGCTCTCAAATGGCCACTTCAGAGCAAAGAAATCGGAAAGATCATCCAAGATATTGGCCGATGCACGCAGGCGACCAATCTAGCGCTGCAAGTTGATCAGACGTACGTTTTATATCAAGCCACGAACATTTCATCGGACCACTCCTTTCATCGGCTTTCAAAAAGCACAAAGGCCGTCACGGTCTACGGAATTGGGTGTCGGAGCAGTGGATTGAGTGTATTGACCATGATCTTGATTGATCGAGAACTGCCCATTTCTCGTGCCCCCTTTCCCTTTATGGGCAAGTGAGACATGCAGCTCGCTCCACCCCCAATATGCACCGGTGCAGTCCTAATTGTGCACGTCCAGTTGTGCAACAGGACTGTGGGCTCTGTGCGCCTGGCAGGCAGCCTCACCAACATACGGGGGGCTGGGTGCGGGAGATAAATATGTGGCACCCGTCGTCAGCTCAAGTCTATCACATCCTCCATCGGTATGGAGGCTGCCGGTCTCGTCATTGGGGTCGCCGGGCTCGCCGGGCTCTTCAACTCCTGCCTGGAAGCCGTTGACAAGGTGCAATCCTACCAGACATTTGGAGCTGACTCGCACGTCTTAGACACTCGGTTCCAAGTTGCCAAGGCCCGCTTTGAGCGATGGGGCCAAGGCGTAGGGATCGAGAAAGGCAAGCTGCAGCCCTATCATCACCTTGCCCTGGACGACAAAGAGACGTCTACTGTGGTGACGGATGTGTTACATATCATCATCAAGGCCATTTGCGATGCGGGCAACACGCCACGCCGGACTCGGGCCGCTGGGCCAGGCGATGATTCGTCTAGCTTGCACGGGCTGAGAACCCCTTACGCGTCCGACTCGAGGAGACGAAAGCTGACCTGGGCGCTCTGGGGCAAAGGAGCGCGCACGGAGCAGGTTGAGCTTTTCGAAAAGCTGGTGCAGGAATTACATAACCTGGTACCCCCAAGAAGTCATCCAAGGGAGAGTACGCCGCGGGGACACAAACTGGATGGAGGGCGCAGCGATACCCTCGCACTGGGTATGGATCTCAGTATCAATACAAGGCTGCCGTCTAACCAAGAGTAGGGACTTCGCTAGTTCACGCGTGGCCTGTCGAGGTACGGCGGGTCCTGGATCGGATCGATCGGGAGATGAAAGGTATGATGCTGCATAAGGGCAGTCTAACTCTGAGCTAACGGTGGAAGCCGAGACGCGACGCGAACTCCACTCCTGGCTTGGCCAGCGCCCTCCAAACGAACGCTACCACGACTCCCTCCAGCAGAGGGTCAACAACACGTGCAACTGGATACTGGAACGGCCTGCCTTTCGGCATTGGCTCGCCACAGACGCCTGCGTGGGACCGAAGCTGCTGTGGATCAACGGAGCTGCGGGGTTCGGAAAAACGATTCTCTGTGCCCACGTCGTGGAACACCTCATGTCCAAACTCGACACGCCCGTCGCGCAGTTCTTCTTTACGTCTGATTCCGAGGGCCGCGATGACCCCTACTTGGCGCTACGGTCATGGGTCTCCCAGATCGTGTCGCATCACGAGAGTGCATACGAGCACGTTCGAAAGAGATGGGAGTCCGACTCGGATCCCCTCGCAACGCGCGCTACTATCATCACGGTCTTCAAGGAGCTCCTCGACGTCGTTGCTGGATGCACATTCGTTGCCGACGGTCTAGACGAATGTGCCTATTTAGACAACAGCAGCACCTCGGTCGCTAAATTTGTCCACGACGTTACACAAGCGGTTGCCGGGACGAATGCCCGAATCCTCTTTGTTAGTCGTGACGAGCACAAGATCCGACGTGCCCTCGTTGTCGACGCGCGCGAGAGCTTTGCTGAGTACAGGATCCTGCCTGAAGACGTCCGATCCGACAATGCCGCCTACTCCCAGTCCATCGTCAACAGGAAACTCCCCAACAAAAGCGATGATCTCCGGGCGGCCCTCTCCGAGGCAATGACCGATCGATGTCAAGGCCAATTCCTCTGGCTTAAAATGCAAGAGGAATCCCTTAGGGAAGGGATGAACAAGAAACGACTTCAGGATGCTATTGCAAACACTCCTACTGAGCTGGGCCATCTCTACGACCGTAACTGGACTAGAGTTACCCGGTTGGGAGAATGGGAGAGGCATCGAGCCTTCGCCCTCCTCCGCTGGACCGCGTTCGCACTACGACCCCTTACTGTCTGCGAGATCACTGAAGCCGCTCTCATTGATGAATCCGAAGACTTTCCATTGGAAGATCTTCCCGATGATGTAGATGACGCCTTCGTCAACAGCGAAATCATTGGTTTGTGCGGCCCTCTTCTGGAGGTTAGGAATGACCCTATCGATCCGTCTCCGAGCCGACGGACGGTGCATTTACCGCACTTCTCTGTCCGACAATACCTCCTTTATCAGCTCCCCACTCCAGGATGGATCCGACAGAACGATGACCTTCGGACTTCTTACGAGCAGCTCCAAAATACCCTACTTGCTAAGGCTTGCCTCCAGTATGTCAGCTTCCGCCAAGTTTGGGAGGACATTCCCCATGATTCTCTACCTTCTACTGGCATGTCATTTCGAAGCTATGCGGCGACGAGCTGGTATCAACACGTCAACATGGGTCTACCTAAACACGCGGAAATAGCGAGGCTCTCCGTGAGATTTCTGAGCCGGAATAATCCTGCCTGGAATTCTTGGAGGACATGGGTCGAGTCACAGGATGCCGAACGACAGGAGAAGGAGGCCGAGGCCATCACACCTAGCCCCTTGTACTACGCAGTAAAGTTGCACTTAACGGACGTCGCAATTTCCCTCATCACGGAACAGAACGCGAATGAGACAAGCAGCCTGGGACGGTCGGCTCTTTTCGTCGCCTGCGCCAACGGGAACATAGATGTTGTTGACATACTTCTCGAGAAGGGGGCCGACATCACAATCGCGAGCAATAGCGGATGGACGCCGATGGATGTGGCATCATATAGCGGCCACGCCGAGGTGGTCAAGCTGCTTCTCGAGAAGGGGGCCGACATCACAATCGCGGACAATAACGGACGGACGCCGGTGCACTCGGCATCAAGGAATGGCCACGTCAAGGTGGTCAAGCTGCTTCTCGAGAAAGGGGCCGCCATCGCAATTGCGGGCAATAACGGACGGACGCCGGTGCACTCGGCATCGCTCAACGGCCACGCCGAGGTGGTCAAGCTACTTCTCGAGAAGGGGGCCGACATCACAATCGCGGATAATGATGGGTGGACACCGGTGAACGCGGCATCAGCCAACGGCCACTTTGAGGTGGTCAAGCTACTTCTCGAGAAGGGGGCCGCCATCGCGACTGCGAATGAATATGGATG